TTCCTTTCAATTGTGTTGTTTCTCTTAAGTTCCGTTATTTACGCAATTTGGATAGAAACAAGATTGAATATTGTAAGATGAAGATTTTAATTTAAAAACTGCTAATTTTAGTTACAGCGAATATTTACGGCTACATGAGTATGTGTCAACTAAAATTGCTTATTTTGTAAAAATATAGTTACTTTTGCACTGTAACAATTTCATGTAATAATGTTTGTTACAAGTTGAATCACTGCTGTATTTGATCATTGAACCATAGTCATACCCTCATTATTATTCAACGATATTCGCTTCTTTATCAAACAGGTCGTGAATTCAATCCTATCGGAGGAAGCGGTCCTGGGCTATGAATACGGCATGGCGTACGACTCGCCGGATAACTTGTGTATTTGGGAAGCACAATTCGGTGATTTTTACAACGGCGCGCAAATCATTGTTGATACTTACATCGCGTCTGGTGAAGGTAAATTTTCCTGCATTTTATAAAAATACTGTGCGCATTCTGAGTCATTTAACAGTCACTATGAGATACCCTTAGTGTATATTTGTTTTCCTAATTCTACACCATGAAATTCTTCAGTAAGTTTTTTTTTTCAATTTACTTATTTAAAAAAGAGAGTCATCCATTGACATACGACTGTCGCTGAGGAGTGCTGTAACAATTCCTAAAACTGCTTTAATTTCGATGTGCCTGCATATATCCCATATTTTGTAAGGTATATCACCGTGTCCCTATGTCCAGCGAAATGGGTGAGAAGCAACGGCCTAGTAATGCTCCTACCGCATGGCTACGACGGCGCGGCTTCCGAGCACTCCTCCTGCAGGCTGGAAAGGTTCCTGCAGCTCACTGATAGCAAGGAAACAGCTCCGGATGGTGAAGATGTCTGTATGCATGTCGTTAACCCGACCACGCCCGCGCAGTACTTCCATTTGCTAAGAAGACAGGTAATGTAACTTATATTATGTACGAGTACATATCATAAACAGCTCACTATAGTGACGTATACGTCCCCAATGAGGGGCTCGGAGCCTACCCTTATGGGTGACTAGGCCTTAATGAATCACGCTGGTCCTAATGGATACTTACTTGATAAAACTTTGTAAAACTGTAGACAATGATTAAAAATCTATTTACTATGAAACAGTATTTAGTAGTTTATTCATTCTGAATAAGCTCTCGATAATTTAAATCAATTTCATCTGAGTATTACTAAATAATATAAAACAACAATAAAATATGAAGAAAATTAATTTTTCACATTCAAGTTGAAATTAGACAAAATTAGAACACTTTATTTCCAAGACAAACTTTTCTATTCATTCAGTGTAAAATATCTTCAACATTTTTATAGAAAAACTCAGTCATTGACCTGTAAATTACGCTCATTATCTTGCCGAAGATCAGCTCTTAACATAACATAGTTTTATGAGTTAGACAAAGTCATAAAACTTCTTATATCTATGATACGATATGACAAATATCTTTCTATTTGTAAACAAAATGAGTCCTATATTCTTACATATTACGATTCGACCTAATTCTAGAAATTCTGACTTTATTACGAATCATAATCGCTAACTTAGCAAGGTTTTTCTAATATTAGTTTTTCTGTTTGCAATAAAATTCGCTATTATAGTATTTTTGTTCGTCAATAACTCTTCCCTTAGTTGTCTTGTATATGATGAAAGGCATGTCATTTGATGCCATTTTTTTGGAAAATTTTGTAAACGATTTTGTATTTAAGATCGTAATAGAAGTTTGAGGGCGTCCATAAATTACGTGAGGTGGTTCACGCAATTTTTTTCTGATTGAAACAAAGAAATATATACTATTTTGGTCCATTTAATTGTATACGTAAGAAACTCACATTTTGTGAGGGAGGGGCAGAAAATTAAAAAAAAAACACCTCACGTAATTTATGGACAACCCCTTATATAAAATAATGCATATATATTAGGGAAGCTAATAAATTTATACGATTCAATAATTTTACATCACTCACAATAAAATTTGTTTCCTAAATCATTGAAATACTCTATAGGTCGTACGTAACTATAGAAAGCCATTAATCGTCGTAGCGCCAAAAGTTTTGCTGCGTTTGGCGGACGCTGTCTCTCCTCTATCAGACTTCATGCCGGGGACACACTTCAATCCTGTCATCGGTGAGTCAAAAACTGTTAGTAACGCATGGAGAAACATTACAATACAATGCTTTGAAATTCGCAATTGAAAATATTCGGTTCAATTCTCTTCAATCATGTTGACGCAAAACCTAAAAAAACATGCCATAACTTTATTTCTTTCGAATCTGGCCTAACTTAACGGTATATTGGTTTAGATAAAAAAATTATAGCTTTTATTCACTTAAATCAATTGCTTGTTACATTCGACTATTTTTAATTTATTTTAAGTTCATTTTAATTTAACTGTGATTTTTTTTTATTTCAGCTGACACTATAGCTGATCCATTAAAAGTTAAACGAGTGATATTAGTAAGCGGGAAGCATTACTATGAATTAAATAAAGAAAGAATAAAAGAGAACATAGAAGACGTTGCTATATTAAGAGTGGAATCCCTCAGTCCCTTCCCTCTACACGCGCTACAGAAGGAACTTGAAAAATACTCAAATGCTAGAAGTTAGTATTTACGTTTTAACCCACATACATTAATTTACATACAAAATAGCAGGCAAAAGACTCTCCGGACGAAGAAAGAAATTGTGTTTTCAAAATGTCAAGGAATGGGCAAATATTGCCAGCATGGAAACTTTAATTCGCTTCACACAAGACCGGCAAATGTTCTCTGAGCTGACGGCTCTGAGCACCTAGAGAGAGATAGAGAGATTAATTAGGCCTACGATAGAGTAACAAACTGGTAAAATTTCCAATAGGTGACGGAGTCATGATTTAAGAATCTACAGTAAACATCGCCTTAAGTTATTAATAAATGACATCATTAACCGTAGATTTCTGAGACCAAAACTCCATTTAATACATATTGTTATCTCTGTTTTGTTAATGATAAGGACAGGGACGCCGATATGTTTTTTATATAGATTTTAGCATCAGAATCCAAAGGTATAAATGCGTTGGTAACCTATTTAATAATGTTCCCGAGAAATGTACTGTGTTTCATGGAATATTCTGCAATATTTTGTTACAAATAAATATTATAATGGAAGACTAATCCATTGTATCCTCCCTAATCTACTTTTGAATAAGGAAATTGCTTTAAAAACTTTGTTTCGCGAATACATACGTAATGAGATAACGTTACGAACGAAATACAGGCTAAACTTCTCTCGTCTTGTAGAATGATTAAATTATCTTAAAACTTTTACTATTAACATGATAAAGTGTCTTTAATAATTGTTCTTTACTTTAGAATACATCTGGAGTCAAGAAGAGCATAGGAACATGGGAGCTTGGACATTCGTTAAACCTCGCTTTGAAAATCTGCTCGGAAGAAAGGTAAGATTATATGAGTTAAACATTTAATCCATTACATAGTGTAACTATCGCACTATGAGTTGTTAATTTGTCACTAAAGGAGACCCTAAGTATTACAAACATAAGTATTAGTAATTAATCCTTATTCAGTCTAATTCTTTATACCCTAATAGCAAGTCAGTTGTGTGTAACTTGCTAAACATAAATAACGTCACTTAACTCACTAAGTGTTGATTAAACAGTAACAAATGTAAAATTATGTCTTGCTTGTCGTGCCGGCCTGCATGGCAAGCCAACAAGAAGTCGAAGTCGGCATTCAGTTTCCGTACTTTATCTCTCCGGAATACGCTTTAAGTATTGCATCAAATTGATCTTATCATAACTATATATGAGAATATGAATGTAAGGAAATCTCTTAATTGAACCAGTTAATTAAAGTCGAAGTAATGTTGGCTATAACTAAGGTTCATACTTCAATGTTTAATTCCAAGACGTAGGAAAGTAACTTATTGTTTGGTTAGAAGGTAACTCCAGACCGGCTATATGGATCTCGCAAAAATTTGGCATCGATGTAAAATCTGGAAGAAGACATAGGCTAATCTGATTATATGTTTGTTTATTTTACAGTTGATATATGCAGGTAGGGCTGAGGCAGCTACTCCAGCGGTGGGCGCCGGCACACTACACCGTGTGGAGGTTGAACACGTGCTGAAAGAACCGCTGTATAATATAAAATAACATCACCTTTATGTTTCCTTAATTATGTTTATTTGTATGAAGAATATTTGTTATAAGATTTGTAATAAAGATTTAACACAAGAACAAGTGTTTTTTTAATATCTACGCGTAGAATTTATTATCAAATGAGAATTAAGGTTGGAATAAGGTTTTTTTTATATCATAAGGTGGCAAACGAGCGAGCGGCCACCTGAAATAGCGAAGTAACCGTTGCCCATGACATACGCAATTGTATATGCGTTGCACAGAAAGAAAATATTTTCCCTTCCCATGCATCCTCTCATCCGGAAAGTCCACTTCCACTTCCCATCCTTTTCTTATAAGAAAAACGGTGGGAAGGGAAAGAGGACTAAATAAGCCTCCGGGACGCACACTCCTCAGACGAAACGCAGAATTGCTTCCACTTGACGCCTGTCTTCTGTGTGGTCGTGGTATTTCACCGGGCGAGCCGTGCGAAGATGTAAAAGCGGACTCTACCACTGTGATGTGGTTATCTTAACCAATGAATAATGAGATTTTCTAGGTTTGTTGTATCTGCTAAAGAATTATTTTTCTACACAAAAACACCTATTGCACATCGTCACATCTTCATCATCAGCTCACTATAGGTCCCCACCGAGGTGCTCGGAGCCTACCCTAAATTAAGGGTGATCACATCTTACTACTTACGAACTTACTACCTACAAAACATAAGTCGACGACCAGTAACTAGGGTGTAAGCGTTGAAACTAACGCGCATATAAAATAATTAATTCCGCGCATTGTTAAATCAATAACAAAAATAGCAACCGTTACTATTGTATATTAAATCATGGCCGGTAAAGGCAAAGGTAAGAAAAAGGAAAAGAAATCAAAAGAAGAGGGTGGGGAAAAGAAGAAAGGTAAGAAGAGTGGAGGGAGACTGAAGAAAGGAAAGTCTAAAGGGAGATGTAATGTTGACATGCTGACAGACGCAGCAATGGACAATGTGTACTACGCATGTCATAATGTACAGGAATTACTGCAGGCAAGAGGTTTCTTCCCACCTGACTTTAATAAAAAGAAGAAGAAGGGAAAACGTTAAACATTCTTTGCGATGTGTTTAAGAATAAATACAAAAGTGTTTAAATAAATAAAAGTGTTTTAATTACGTATTTAATTTAAGAGTGTTCTTTTTATTTCGACTCTTTGAATAAAAATATACAATAAATAATTAGGGTCAGAAATAAAATGAGCCTAGTTCGTACCGTGTGTTTCTGAGTCCAAAATCTCCGTTTAAAACATATTGTTGCCTTTGTTTTGTCAAAGATTGTGACAGGGATGTTAGATGAAGATATGATATAGACAGATATTTTGGTGTCAGAAACCCAAGATTAATAGAATAACCTTTTCGGTGAAAGATAAATTTATTTTTTTCTAATTTTGATTTATCTTTGACGTTTAAAGTCAAGGTAATATTGACAACATAATAAAAGATAAAATGTTACAAATTCGCAGTATAAAAAGAAATTAATAAAAAAAAGCTCACAATTACCGTATTTTCTAAAGTAAATACCTAATAATCGTAGTAACTAGTAACCTTACCATTTTGACCAATAATGTGATTATGGATAAACCCACACCTTAAAAGTTACTAGAAGCTATGCATGAAAGTACTATGTTGTTTTCCTTGAATATAAGAGCTTGAAGTGCAATGCCAACACCAGCGGTGGGCATAGACCTTGGCACCACCTACTCTTGCGTGGCTGTCTTCCAGCATGGCAAAGTGGAGATTATCACCAATGACCAGGGTAACAGGATCACACCGTCCTATGTGGCTTTCACTGATACCGAACGGTTAATCGGTGAATCTGCTATTAATCAGGTATTAAACATTTATGTAGAAAACTAGCTGTCGCCCGCGACTCCGTCCTCTTCCGAGCTCCGTCGAGGAATTAAAAAAAGATATTTAGTAGCCTATGTGTTCTTCCAGACTATGTTCTACATCTGTGCAAAATTTCAATAAGATCCTTTGAGCTGTTCCGGAGGTACCATCAAACATCCATCCATCCACACATCTAAATATTCTCATTAGTATTATTAGTAAGAAGTAAGATTTCGATACATGATTTTATAAGAATTAAAGAATTAATATAAAGAATTTCTAATTACATATTTTAGATTGCTATGAATCCGAAAAATACCGTATTTGATGCAAAACGAATGATTGGAAGAAAATTTAATGATCCAAATATTCAACAAGATATTAAACATTGGCCATTCGAAGTTATATCGGATAATGGGAAACCGGCTATTGTGGTCCAATACAAGAAAGAAAGAAAAAAGTTTACACCTGAAGAAATTTCCTCCATGATACTAAGCAAAATGAAACAAACAGCCGAGATGTTTCTCGGAGGTACGGTTACTGACGCGGTTATAACTGTACCGGCATATTTTAATGACTCTCAACGTCAAGCAACTAAAGATGCAGGTGCAATTGCCGGATTAAACGTTCTTAGAATTATCAATGAACCAACAGCAGCTGCTCTTGCTTATGGTTTAGACAAAGATTTAAAAGGAGAGAAGAATGTTCTTATTTTCGACCTTGGAGGTGGCACTTTCGATGTTTCGATTCTTCAGATATCAGAAGGATCATTATTTGAAGTCAAATCAACAGCAGGTGACACACACCTTGGTGGTGAGGATTTCGACAGCCGAATGGTAGATCATTTCAGTCAAGAGTTTGAACGGAAATTTAAGAAAAATATTACCAGCAATCCGAAAGCTATTAGAAGGTTAAGAACTGCATGTGAAAGAGCTAAACGAACACTATCATCAAATACAGAAGCTAGTATAGAAATAGACGCCCTTCATGAAGGAACAGATTTCTATTCAAAGATTACTAGAGCTAGATTTGAAGAATTGTGTTCGGATTTATTTCGACAAACTTTAGTGCCAGTTGAGAATGCATTGAAAGATGCTAAGATGAATACGAGAGAAATAGACGATGTAATCATGGTTGGTGGATCTACAAGAGTTCCGAAAATCCAAAGGCTCTTACAGGTATACCAGACAATATTGTCTCTAATACATTTTTAATACAACTACAATATTGAAGTGTATTTTTTTAGGAATTTTTTGGAGGAAAAACCCTCAACCTATCTATTAACCCTGATGAAGCAATTGCTTACGGTGCGGCGGTACAAGCTGCTATTATTTCCGGATCCCAAGAAGTTCGCCTTCAAGATGTGCTCTTAGTCGATGTGGCTCCCTTGTCTCTGGGCATTGAGACCGCTGGTGGTGTTATGACAAAGTTGATCGAAAGAAACACTAGAATACCTATCGCACAGAATAAAATTTTCACAACATATTCTGACAATCAACCGGCTGTTACGATTCAAGTAAAGATTTTTTTACAATTTGACAAAATCTGATTGGTATATTGAAAGTGTAATTTATTCTTGATTGTTTAGATTTACGAAGGAGAAAGAGCACTTACAAGGGACAACAACTTGCTTGGCACATTTAATCTTACTGGTATTCCACCAGCACCAAGAGGAATACCTCAAATTGAAGTGAGTTATCTTATTCTTAGTTTGATTCTATGATCTTACCTTTTTTATAACACAACTTTCACCCTGAAACTGTGTCGTGTTCGTTGTCGTCTTTTTTATTTTAGGTATCATTTGATATAGACGCAAACGGCATATTAAACGTAAGCGCCCAAGACAGAAGTACTGGTCGTTCAGAACGTATAACCATATCTAACGACAAGGGTCGTCTAAGCAAAAAGGAAATAGAGAAAATGCTACATGATGCCGAGGTGTACAAGGCGGAAGACGAAGCTGTAAGAAAGACAGTAGAATTGAGGAATCAACTGGAAGGATATATTTTTGGGTGTAAAACGGTATGTAAAAGGAAACGTTCGCTAAATAAAGTAAGTCTTATCTGATTGCAAGAGATTATAAACCAATCTTTGTATCACATCCTTTAGATGTATAATGCCAATTACTTTTATTGATGATAATTTAGGATACCCATAAACAATCGACACATCGTTTTGTGAAATATGGTCGTGATATTTGGGACCTTTGATTTCTTAGCATCAACATAAATTACCAATTAACTTCATCAACAAAAAATTATTTGTATAATATATAATATTTTACAGGCAGCAGAAAATTCAGGCGGAAGACTTACAGATAGTGAACGGACAGCAGTTGTGACAGAATGCAACAACCAGTTACATTGGCTCGAGAGCAATCCAAATGCTCCAACGTCACAATTGGAGGAACATTTAAAGGCACTGCAGGCAGTTTGTCAGCCAGCTATGATGAAGTTGCATGGAGCTGGTGCAGGTGCAGGCATCGGCGTCGGCGGGCCAGGGGTAAGGCCGACTACGCCTGGTCGCAGTGGACCCACCATTGAGGAACTTGATTAAGATGATTGAACATAATTGTAGAACTTGGCAAACACGATAAATGAACTCTACGGCAAAGAAAGTCAACTGAAATGCTTTATTACACACGATTAAGATACTTGAGAGAAATCTGTTTAATTCAATTTTAATATAATAGCTGGTTATAAATTTTGCAATTGGAGTTTGTATTATTTTTACACTATTTACTATTTGCAGTTCAATAAAGCTTTACCAAAATATTTTTTTTATTTCATAGAAGTAACCGATTAATTTGCGAAATTTTTTGGTCTTAGTTACCAGATACACAAATAAATTTATGAGTCCAGGAAAAACTTTTAAATAAAAAACTGCATCTTTATTGAATATTTGTCTAATAACAAAGCAAATCATATTTTACAAAAATATATTATAACAATCTAAAATAATTTTTGGTTCACAGGATTTCCTGTAATTCGTGGTAACTACAATATAAATATACCACTTGACAACCCAATTTCATCATCAGCTCGCTATATGTCCCCACCGAGGGGCTCGGAGCCTACCCTAAGTTATGGGTGATTAGGCCATAGTCAACCACGCTGGTCAAGTGCGGGACAACCCAATTTATTTATATCTAATTCCCGAAATCTAAAATTTATAAATGCACCATTATTCTCCCATAAAATTAAACTATTTAAATTTTCCTATAAATAAAACTGAAGGATCTATTCAAACCATACTTTAAAATAAATAAAATGTAAAAACACGTCATAATTACATATTATAATATTCATTTGATTTTTAAACATATTTATGACAACATATTTTCCATCATATTCAAAAGTAGAAACTTACAAACTAACAAATAAAAACAAACTGTTTATCGCATAATGGTCCTTCGAGTCAGATAGGCCCAACTTTTTTTTTAATTTGTTCTAATTTGATTGTACCAAATCTATACAATTAGTAAAATTGTCTGTATGTATAAAAAATCATATTACAACGAAAAAGCTATTGAAAATTTTCCGTCTGTACACAAGTCTGAATTTGTTCCGGGTTATCTCTGAAACTAGACCAATTTTGACGGGATACATGCGGGAAGTAACTTAGCGCTGACGAAGTCGGGGTCAAATGCTAGTTAAAATTGCAAATTAACCTTAAATATGTATTTATTATATACGTGACTGGAAATAATGACAATCTTATAATTTATGCCTCATTAACTTACTAATAAATATTATCACTTATAATTTCGTCTACTTTTTGCACTTAATAATACAAAAACGAAATATATTTACGTTATATTTTAAACATGTCTAAGTACTACCTACATTACACACGTACCTATAGTAATTTTCTTAATTATCATTTATAGTCGGTCCAGTGTTTTTATATATTAATATGAAATTATATAAATTATTGAAGACGTCATCGAAATATATTCTACTAGCTGTCGCCCGCGACTCCGTCCGCTTAATTAGTGTAGTCTATGTGTTCTTTCAGACTATGTTCTATACGTATGCTAAATTTGATCGAGATCTGTTCAGCCGTTCTAGAGATATCTTCAAACACCCATCCATCCAATCACATCACATCCATCTAAACATTTAGGTATAATATTATTTAAGTTATATAAAAAGCAGCTCTTCAAGGCATATATTTGAAAAAAAAATAGTATCCTATGTCCGTCTCCTGGCTGTAAGCTACCTCCTCACCAATTTTCAACCATATCGGTAAAGCCGTTCTTGAGTTATTAATAGTGTAACTAACACAACTTTCTTTTATATATATAGAAGATATAAGATATGCGATTATATAAATTACAGTGTTGATGACGTCATCAAAATATATAGTTTTATGCGCGGTCACTTGAATATTTGTATAGAAAATATATCGTTATATGCCTTGCTATAAATCTTACTAATATTATAAATGCGAATGTATAGATGGGTGTCTGTTTGAAGGTATCTCCAGAACGGCTAAACGGATCTTGATGATATTTGGCATACATATAGAACATAGTCTGAAGATCACATTGGCTACTTATTAGGTTTTTACTTAATGACCTAATTTCGCGGCGTCGGAGTCGCGGGCGACTGCTAGTATTAGTATATATTATAGGTACGTGTGTGATGGTCTTTATGATGTGCAAAAAGCCATAAAATAAACTAAGCATATAAATAATTATGTGCTTTGCTTTATTATTCCTTTCCCTTTTTAACTTACTTCTAAAAGGTTATAAAAAGATTGTCATTTTTGGACGTTTTATATCTAACTTTAAAATTGTATTAGTTATATTTTAGACCACAATAATGATACAACTTATAAAACATATTGAACTGATATATAAACACGGCTAAACATTCACTTATATACGTCCGGTGGCGGCACCGACTAGTTTCGAGCACATCTGGGGCCCTTCATCAGGGTGAGTGGTACTGGTATTATTTCGCGGACGCGGCCCTCAGCTCACTGCCGACACTGGAATGAGCGACAGGCCACCAGACGAATATACGTGAGTGTTTAGCCGTTTTTATACCAGTTTAGTATAAGGTCTCACGAAAGTTTGAATAATTTAAAAACATATTGAATTACTGTTATCGCCCATTTTAATCTTAAATTAGCTAATGACATTGTGTCAATTCTTATATGACAACATATTTATCCAATGGTTTCTAAGACTCCGTGTAAAACATATCGTCATCCCTCTCATTATCTTTGACAAAACAGAGATAACAATATTAAACAAGGATTCTAGTCTTAGAAACCGACGATATCTGGTAACTTAACGTAAACAACACTGGTCGACATTTTTTACAAGAAAAAAATTCTTTCACAAGTATTGACTGGAAAATTATTACATTTTTAAACTAAATAATAATCCTATTTAATAAAAATAAGCTGTACAAATAAAGAACTATATCTTATTTACCCCCAAAAATGTGCCATCGTGGAAACCCTGTTTTTAATTCTAAAAAAAAATCACAGGTTTGCGTCCCATTACAACGCGACAGCTCGCGGGTCTACTACAGAAAATTTATAGTATAGTTCTTTTCAAATATTTTGGCGGCTGAAGATCATGCGCGCTGCACAGTGCCTTAACCCCGCTAAGGCTTAGCACACCTAAAACAGTATTCTACGTAACTCAAGCGAAGTTATCCGCCAAGATATCTGAAAACCGCTATACATCGAATTTGATTTGGCACGCCAATAATAAGGGTTGTCTTACACCCGACGTGCCAACTACCGCAAGCTACTATACTAGTGATGTGTGATATCATTATCGATAAAGAGAAGAAAATTCTTATTTTCAACATGAAAATAATGCATTAACTGTTAAGCTGTCGCGTTTACTTATACAATATTATAATTGCGCTAAAATGTGTCTAACATCTATAGAGACCGTAGCATCCTCTGTATGAAGGCCGATTGAATTTGGTCAGCTCTGAAATTGAAGAAAAAAACCGTATATTAGATCAATACAATAACAACATAACTCACGCCCGTAACCCTGAGGTGTAGGCAGAGTCACGGATCTCAAATTGATGCGGTCTTGGCGGTAAAAAACTTTCTTTTACCCAACTCACAGAACTGTAATATTTTCTCGCAATTACGTGAATTTTTACTGAACAAAGATTAATAAATTTTACACATTATTGTCAATTAAAAAATAACCTTTTTTTTAGTACAAGAGTGGCTACTACAATTCGTCAAAATAGCGAAATAACTGCCCATAGACAACTTTATTAGCGACATCCGAGTTGGCTATGTCTAAACACTAGAAACAGATATGAAACAATATAAATGTATGGGAGGTAGTAATACTGACTTGGTGCTGGTGACTGTGGTCATCAGGTTGATGATGTACCGGGGGCAGACGTCCTCGTGCATGACGCGTGCGTGGAACAGCAGACCCTGGCACACGCAGTACAGCAGCTCTACCACCGGCCACTGCTCGGGGATGTACCCCGCCTGGTAGCCCCATGAGCCCAGGATCTTACACACAAAAAAAAACAAATAAATATAGTTAATAAAATTGGAGTGTCTGTATGTGACATCGAAAAAAAGTATTTGCTTTATAAAAATATAAATTTTTTAAGAGTTTTGTCTGTCTGTCCTTAATGTGTATTTATTATTTGACTTATTTTGAGGGGGCTACTTTTGGAAAGTAGGTAATGTGTTGGAACTCGCGGGCGACAGCTAGTGTTTGAATATAACATACCTGTAACGTAGATGTCAACGGTGCTAATGAAATTGGCAAAGACGGTGAGGCTCTAAACGCGGCGCCTGCGAGGAAACCCGCGGGTAACGCGTATAGCGCGCTATCCTTGCCGTACGCCCGACACAGCAGGCAAACAACCAGCTGAAATTATATTATCTTACTAATATTATAAATGCGAATGTTTAGATGGAAGAATGGATGGATGTTTGTTTGAAGGTATCTGCAGAACGGCTGAATAGATCTCGATGAAATTTGGCTTTCATATATTATAGAACATAAAATGGAAGAACACATAGACTACTAATTATGTTTTTTTTTAATTCCGCGTGGACGAAGTCTCGGGCGATAGCTAGTATTTTATATTTTATATCACCCTGTTGATGAATTTTATGATAGTGTGCGTAAGAAGGGAGTGATTTCACAAATTATGGTTAATAGAGATCAACGAGGGCGTCTGTGTCGTCCCTTTTTTAGGAAAAGGGCATGATGATTGTACATGACCTAAGTTTAACACGTCCCTTATCGTGCCTTGCGAGAACACTGTATCGAAAAACTCATAGCATGGAACGTGTTTTAAATTTAAAGAGTAAAAACATATTTCACGAATTATAAATATATAAATTATGCAAAAATATTCAAGCGTCACATATTTCGATTTTAAATGTTTTCGTTTGAATTACAAATTTTGCAACTGACTGTCGTTATTCACAAATATTTAAATATTTTTTTTCCAAACAACTAAATTAGAATGACGTGACACTTGACACATATTGTCATCCTTTTTTTTCTGTTTAAAATAAACAGAGACAACGTTGTCAAGTGTCGCGATAGTTAAAAGGGGAGGCCAAGCGGGAATTCTTGGATTTACTCAAACGTGGCAGTTAAACATAAAGAGGAACCTTGCACCCACTCGAGTACTCCTACAACAAATGAAACGTTCCATAAAGAGCCTTTACCGTAGGTCAAAATACTAAGTAAAAAATGACCATGCGCTTCAGTTTGTGACAGGAAGAGTTAACTTTAACGTCAATAGCCTAATAGTTAAGGGTACGGTTTTCGATCCAGAGGTCGAGGGTTCGAATCCCGCCATTCGACTATTGTCGTAAACCATATCGTGCACAAGCCTAGAGCTTAGTTGGAATGGTATAAGAAATATTACGAAATTTATAAAAAAATCTGCTCATATTTTAATAAAAAAATCTGCATGGAGAAGTCTGTTTAAAATATCTAATCCAAAAATCCCCGCTTGGCCTCCCGTACTTCGTAGAATTTCAATGTGAATACATGCTTTGCTGTAATGTTCAACGAAACTTACCCTATAAATACCAATATAACCACCAAAGAACACTCCAAGTTTGAGATGTGACAGCTTCAATGATTTCAACGCTTTAGTCGGCGTCAGAATCCGAGGAATTATCGTGCGCAGTATTGTCATAGCGCACCCCACGCCGAACAACTGTATTGTACCCTGGAATACGTTTGTTTATATTAAGTAGCTTTCTGAGACCAAAATCTTCTTTTAAAACATATTATCTCTGTTTTGTCATACATAATAGGGATAACGATATGTTTTATACAAAGATATTGATGTCAGGAACTAACTGTAAGACGTTTAACACTTTGAGTGCTACAGATACCTGGCCAGTTCACTTTAATACCAGACAATTGTGGCATGAAACACATGTAACCAGTAAATAATGATTTTCTTTAAAAAAAATTAAATTGTATAGATTTAGAAAAGAAGCGTCGGTGGCTCAGGGGTCAAGCACTTGACTTGCAATCTGCAGGTCCTGGGTTCGAATCCGGCCATGTACCAACGTGTTTTTCTATTTCCGATTTACATATGTACATTTATGCGACGTTCTTGCGGTGATGGAAAACATCGTGATGCAACCTGCACATATCTGAGAAGAAATTCAAAGGTATGTGTGAAGTCAAGCAACCTGCACTTGGCCAGCGTGGTTGACTATGGCCTAGTCACCCCTAACTTAGGGTAGGCTCCGAGCCCCTCGATGGGGACATATAGTGAGCTGATAGATTTAGAAATGTCTTCATAGACAATAATACGCTCTAATCCAATCACAATACGACCTTAATGCCTCTTTTTTATTTTACTCTTATGTAACTAGAAAATACTGGCTCAATTGTAAGTGTATATATAATTGTACCTGTAGGGAATTAAATAAGGAAATAAAATGGCTAGGATACATGTATGAAAAGGTATATAGGTCAGATAATAGAATAACAAAAACATTTAAATGTCAAGTTTCCTTATGTACTATATAAGCAATTATATGATATTTTAAAAACAACATAAATTTGCTTACAACAATTGTAGCCAGACCGGTATTAACGTCATGGCCATGAAAATTGTCACGACTCATTTTTATACGTATTTAACTACGAAAGAATATTTGAATTATTACGCCAAGATATAGTAATTTCGCTAAATAAGCGATGAAACCACTGTTTATAGACACCTTTAATAAGTCGATGCACTAGACCTGGACAGAGGAGACAGAAATAAGGAGAGTATTAAGAAAGGATAGGAAAAGGAAAAGGACTGAAGCAAAAACCTAAAACTCTTGTCACTTTTTGAGTAAGTATTATAAAATAAAATGCAGTGTAATTGACTTTAATTGCATTAAGTACCAGTGCTGTAGATAATACCGGCTATAAGTAGGCATTTTGATTGCGTGTCCGGACAAAATAAACGGTGTCCGGGTTGTCCGGCTTTTGTCGGCTTTTGCAAACGAGTGGGACCGTGCTTAGGCGACAATACAGACAAAATCCTTTGTAGGGTGTCCGGCCTTTCTACATAAATGTCCGGCCAAACTGGCCGATCTGTCCGGCTATTGTTTGTCGACCTGGCAACCCTAAGTGGGTATGGTAAAAAGTTTAAATAAACAAGACACTTTTAAAAACAATAAATGATATATAAGGAAACTATTTAACAATATTATGTTATTCATATAACAGAATAACAAATATCATGAGTATAATTTAAGACAAAACAATTATTTATCCTTACGCAATAATTACAATCAGGTAAACTACTATAACTAATATACATATATATAATAATTGGACTGTCTGTATGTAATACCGAAAATCATATTTAGTGCACAAGATGAATTTGCGTTGTTAATAACAAAAAAGCAATTTTAAAAATGTTTGTCTTTATGTTTATCAGCATAACGATTTTAACTTTCAGAAAGGTAGCTAATGCACGCGGGCAAGTTATAGACTATTTTAAAAAGCACTAGCGAAGTTGTGGTCAACTACTAGTTGTATAAGACATAAGTAGACGGAGCGTTATTACCCCGAGTCGGTAATAAACTATGTTTGCGCAATATACTTATATGAATTCCTTAAAAACGTCATAGGGAAAACGACGGATATTTAAACATACAAAATAATATATCTATACTACTAAGGATCATTGTTATGGAATACAATTTTATTTAAAGAATTCAAAAGGAGGTTCTCTATTTTTTTAATTATATCGATTTTCTTAATTCACAAGATTAGACTTTTAAAATAAAACTTGTTTGATATTGCGTGGAGTTAATAGAAAACTTAACTTACCCTCAAAATATAATTAATACAGTTTCCTTTATGTGGACAAGCAGGACTCCTCCCGTTGACCCCTTTTATCGGCTCTCCAACTTCCTTCGAAACTCGCGGCGGAGTGAAGAACCTTTAAGTTTAAAAACATAAACCTAGTGTCACTTAATCTTTTCATCCTTTAAAATATCTATATTTTAAATGAGAATGTTTGTTGGAAGGTATCTCGAGAACGGCTGCATGGATATCGCTGAAATTTGGAATAGATTTTGGAAGAACACAGCCTACTATTAAGTTTTTTTTTAATTCCGCGCGGACGTAGTCGCGGGCAACAGTTAGTCAATTACATAATAATTTCAAATTAATCAACGAAAAAAACACATTAATTTCCTTACCAAAACAATGGTGTTCGTTTACGGTTCTCTCTTTCTTTTCTCATTAAATAGAAAAAGACAGCACTACCCAACATGAAGATAAGCGTTTCTTTGCCTGGTGTCCTCCTAAGCCATCCTTTCATTTCTAATGTTCTTACCCAATATTCGAACACCTGTTAAAATATGGACATTTTTACGAAACTAATAACATTAGTATTACAAGATTCATACTTTATACCACTATATAAGCTTTTAACGGCGATTCTTAAAATTGTGGTGGTGGAGTTGTGACCGAGCCGCCTTAAAGTTTGGATAGCATTGTACTGTGAGTGATTAGTTTGGTACAGGGTATAAATATGCTGCTGAACAAAGTACCTATATTTGAAAAAAAATCACTGTGAATAAGATTGGCAGTCAGACGACACATAAAACCTAACTTAATGGTCACAAAATAGCACATTATATTTATAATGCACGCATTTCAAACATAATTACGCTCTAAAATAATTATCTGACCAGACCGAAACATGAAGTGGTCTTTGCCCAATCGGTCCTTTGATGTAAAGAAGCATAAGTTGACAAATCTCACACCAGACAAAACTGACACAAGTCAAAAGTGACAATCTATAACTTGATTTTTTTTTTCAGTATCTCCTATCTTCATCATGTCGTGTCTACAACCAGGATCAGACTAAAAGTAAACAATTTCTTACCAAGTTGACAAATAGATTGACGACCATAACTCTTCTGTACGGTGGCTCGAAGTAGACCGCAAGACCGCTCACCGTACACGGCAATAGGACTGTCGTGTAATAATTAAATTGGCTGAAGAATAACGCCCTAAACAAACATAACTATATTAAAAAATCATTATCATAAGCAGATGTTAAGTTTACGATCATGGTAAGATGGATGGATGAATTTTTGTTACAAGATATCACCAGAAAGTCTGCATGGAACTCGTTGAAATTTTACATAGATGTAGAACAGTCTGGAAGAATACATAATCCACTAATTAAGTTTTTTAAATACGCGGACGGAGTAACGACAGGTATAATCACAGTATGTTTGTTTGGTAGTAGGTAATATCTCCGTAATTTTGTGTCATAAAAATAACAAGTTGTGAAGTAATAAAAAATCAGAATATTAAAAACAATAAACTGAAATCCTTGAATTTAAATTATCATTTTACTTCATTACAATCATTTAAATCTACAATACATGTCTTAAAACGCACCTGTAAACATTTTTTTTTACTATACAATTAAGCAAAATGTGTCCATTATTATCACCTAATAGATTTCCGCAACCTTGCTGGCTTTCAGTGGGCATTAACTTATTTTTGTATATTTAAATCTATTTTTGTTTAATTCATTACAATTTAAATCACTGTCCGATTGTTATTTCAACATCGGACTAATTGTATTAAACACTCTTGCACCATCAATTGTTTTACTCAACCGACATACATACAATAGTTTGAACATTGGTAAATTTAAATAAAACATTTGACAGTCAATTTTCACTGCAGGAATACTTAAACAGAACATGTTGTCCATCCCTTTTTTGGGATATCTCTTTCTTTCCCCGTTTTCCTTATACTATGATGTATATAGGGTGTTTTCCATTAACCCAGCTCAACAGGAAACATAAAATGAGTTTTATTTCTTTGTTCATCAAGTAACCCGCTAACTTGTTAAAATAATATGATGTAAATGTTATAACATTACCAAGGTTACCTAATGTGTAAATACCTAATATGTACCAGCCTAATGTGTAAATGTGTAACAACCAAATGTGTAATGTGTAACATGGAAAGAGAAGATACTCAACTTACCTAAATATGCAATTCAATGTGACAAAAGAACTTCCCACTGTCAATCCGAATATACCAGATTTTAAATACAATTTGAATTGCTCAATCATTTCATCCTTCCCCAATTTTTTACCCTTCATTAATATTTGAATCTGTGAACAAATTTTCATAATCATCACAAAGAAGAAATGCTATAACTGTGGCACATCTAGAGTTTACACAAATATTAAATGTTGTATTATAAATATGGCAATTGAGAATTTATCTTTAATTTTTATGATACTGTGGTAAAGTTTTACGTTCAGCATTGCAAAAATATTCTTCGTTTAAAAAATCAGCAGTCAATATTTTTTTAACATATGTTATTCCACAAAATTTATAGTCAAAGACGTTTATTTCCTACCCATTTCAATGAAATGTCAATTGTTCATAATTCAATTATATCGAAAATTTGTTATGGTATGTATAAAGTATAGAACCTAAACTGGATAAGAGAGATTCCGAGAGAGAGCCGCAATATTGTTGTCACTTATAGATTTTTCTCTCTAACCTGAATTTCTCACTTATCTAGTTCTCTCTATTTAAGTTTTGACTGTGTGATTTTAACTCTTATTGTAACAGCTATTCAAACACTAATCTTAAGTAAAAAGTCAATGTAATTCTCCCTCTGAATATATAACAGAAATCAGGTGTTTCCTGTTAGGCTGATTGGTCTACTGACCAATCACCTATTGAAATTTTTTTTTCTAAATAAATAGGCCCAAAAATAATTTTCAATCATAAAATAAATTTTAGTCATTTTGTAAATTGGTCAAGGGTAAAGCATAATCTTGCTCATCTATCATTTTTAAGAATTATTGCATTATACACAATGTATATTGATAACATTTCAAATAGTGATAAATTAATCTCTTTATTGATAAAAACGAAATATTTTATACCAGCAAACTCTAAAATAAAAAATAAAATATTTTATAAAACAATTATTCAATTTTTTTAATTATATTATTTTAAGATAAAAAAAAAATTAACAAGGAAAAAAAATATCAAATCGACTCACTTAACAAACTAGTTTCTATATTATTTCAAAGTAATTTTTAATGACTAATATGTTTTGTTGAAAAATTTAGACTTAATAATGATTAACTTACAAGGTACACCATGGCGTAGAACTTATAACTGCCTTTAATGCAACTAAGGAGCATAGTTGCTGTAGCATCTTTGCATGTAGAAGTCCAGGGGTGAATCAAAGTATTACATGGAGCATGGCTACAGGCCTTCTCAAACCAAAACTTACTTGCTTCAACCATTTTTAATAATTTAAACTTTTCTAGTTATAAGTGTTACAAGTTAATATTTTAATATAAACTGATTAAAAGTGAAAGATATTTACACACGTAATTA